GAATAGGAAGGGGTTCCAGCTCTCTGAGTCTTCGTTAAACAAACCTTGCACATGTGAAAGCACTGTTCTTATTTTAGATCTTGGCTTGTACATTTTCATTTCCTATGGGAAACTTCCACTGAAATAATGGCCCCTCCATGCACCCTATGCACATGTACCCTATGCACATGCACCCTGTGCCCATGCACCCTGCAGCTCTGAGCTCCAGCAGCACTCTAGCCCTCCTCTGTGTGAATCGAGGTGACCCTCTCTACATGTCTTCCTCCAGTTAGCCTGACTGCTCCACATGGTGTTGATCAGGGTTGCTCAGCATTGTCCAGTTGGTGACTGGGAATCTGGAGGGTCCAAATTAGCCACAGCCATGCCTGGTATCTGAGGGGGTTATTACAAGTTAGGGCTCGGCTGAGCCCCTTTTTTTCTTGATATAATCTCAGGACTTCCACAGGTGTTCTCTTCAGTAGAACATTTGCATGCTTTACAGGTGGACCCATGAGTCCAAGAGATCAAAGCTGAAGCCCACAGCTCTTCTTAAGACCCAGAATTGGGAAAGCTCAGCTTCTGCCATACTCTGCTGATCACAGTCGCACAGACCAGCCTAGATTCAGTGGGAGAGGTAGACCCCATGTTTTATTGGGATAATGCCAAGAAATCTTATGATATCTTCAATCTGCTGTAATATATGAATTTACATCTCTATATTATCCCATGCACAATCAGCAGAGAGCCAAGCAGGAGAGAGAGAGTGCTCAATCACCATGGGTCACGGACAGGAGAGGTGTGAAGCCAGAATCAGGAAACCAGTTAGGGACACCTTCAATCCTAAGGGCAAGAGATGATGGCAGCTCTAATGAAGAGTAAGAGTGGGATGTGACAGAAGGAGACAGAATCAAGAGAGCATGGGAGACTAGAGACCAGGAAGAATCAAGGGCAGCTCCCAGGTGAGAGAACTTGGGGACTGCTGGCTGAGGGACTCAAGGAAGGGCAGAGCCTCTCATCAACAGCTGAGTATGCGTCACCCCCACAGCTGGGACACTGGGCTCAGCCTGTAGTCCTCTCCCAAAACCCAAAACATAGCCACAAGCAGTAACTTTTAACAACAAAAATTATATATATATATATATATCTCCCTTTTGGTCAGCATTAATGAAATGGAGCTGAAATATCAGCACTTGGGGTGCATTTGGGTTCTGCTTGAAATTGAATTCCCTCTTCTTTCCTTTCTGTTTGCTTAGTAAAAGAAGAACCTGTGGGAGAAAAAGGATCCACTTTCTATTCCCACCTCTTGACACCCATTCACACTGGGGGAATGCCTGCTTTTCAGCCCCAGAGGGGTAGTTAGGGCTCATATTTTAATGCTCATAAAGCTCGTTGAGGATGGAAATTGGTGCATTATGTGGTGATTATTATTCTGCTACAACTGGAACTTCATTTTCATCGCTGAGCTCTCAGGGAATTAGCTGCGCCACCTTCATTAACTTAATGGGCAGTGCGGGCCCGGTTCTTCTCTCGGGCATCCTTTGCACATCCACCTGTAAGATGGAAGCTTAAGAGTGTAACCGGGCGACAGGAAGACGGTGGGAAGGACCATTAGTTTGGCTTCCCTGCCATGCCCCTTTGTCCCCTGCTTACAGGGGGTTTGTGAACCAGAAGCAGAAGGTATGAGGCCACAGACAGACTCTGAGATGGAGTGAGCACTGGGAGAGGGGGTTTGGGTTTAGAAGTCCGGGTTCCAATGGCATGGACATGCTATTGATGAAAATGGACAAGTTTGCACAGTGCCTTACTTAACGAACAACAAAACATCTCTCAGACCCAAGATTCTTAGTCTCTAAATCTAGAATGCTTGGTCTCCTGTCTTGGGAAAATGTGGGGTAGTAACTTAGCATCTGTGCTCCTTCAGATAACAATGGTATCCTTAGAGGCAGAGGTCATTATGGGAAGTAAAGGGTTAGAAAAATGGGAATCCCTGTGAGTGCTAGCAGCGTTGGCAGCAGCAGAGTGTGAGGGGATGGTGGTGGGAGTGTACCCACACCACAAATGTCACAAGCATCCAGTGACCTCCACCGGGGTCCTGCTATGATCCAGGCACAGCAGTCACTGACAATAAAAAGAGAAATAAAATCAGCCCATCTCCAGGGAACTCACACCAGTCTCTCATTCATTCCCTCGAGGGTGTTCATGCAGCGGAGGGAGATGCATTTAGTAAGCACCTTTGAAAAGCAGCACTCTTCTAAGCACTGGAGAACTTACCAAAAGAAGAGAGAAAACAAAAGGAACATTCTCTCCCCACAAGGGAAACAAAACTGCTTCATTGACTCACCCATTGATTTGACCTACACATATTTAGTACTTCCAGTAGGTAGGCAATCAGATATTCTACCAAACCTCTGAAATGTTTGGCTTCAGAAAACTTCATTTAGAATCCAGAGCTGCCACTAACTTGAGCAAAGCCAGGTATAAGCCTTCTCCAGCCTCAGTTTCCCCATCTGTACATTGATGATGTATTCACTCAGAAGCCTTCACATAAATGTCCCGTGTGTTGATGGTGCATATCAATCCTAGTGTGATGAAGAGTCAGGATCAAGAGCCCAGATATGAGCAGCCTGCCTCCAGGTACCAGGAGGATTCCCCGACTACAGGATGATGATGAAGGTGGATACCAACAGCACTGATATCCTTGCTATGAGCACGCAAGATAACATTTATGGTAAAATCAAAAAGACCTGAGTCCACAGTTGTGTGCACCACTATCTGGCTATCAGGTTTGGATAAATTGATTCACTTTCCTGAGCCCTAATTTCATCATAAATAAAATGGAGATGATAATCAGAATCATGTCACCGGGTTGTTTGTAAAGATTAAATTACATAACTGCATGCATTTTGCTTATGGCTATCTGCACACAGAGTGTGAAATTGGTGGCTACTCATAGGACGCTTACACCCGTAGGGAACTATTGACTACACTTCTCACAAGTTAGAAAAACACAGTTTGGAAATCCAAACTAGAAAGGGCACATAAATGAGTACACTTCATCCAATCTAAAACTGCACCACAGGTGAGTACATCCAAGATATGAAATTACAACCGCCCCCTATACTGAACATTGCAATGCAGTCTGGAATCACGTGTGGAAACGGAGCAAATAGTTGGTCCAGGGCAAACGCAGCAGAGGAGCAGAAGCCCTATTCCCACCCCAGGCTGCGTTTCTATATCTGGACTCCTGACCACAGAGCCCAAGGGAGCCTCCTTGCTGTGCACTACAAACTAAAAATAGCCTCACATAGCAATGTCTAGAGCACCTCCGGATTTTGAAGACATTGGTGATTAGGAAGAGGGAGGAGAGACTCGGCGTCTTGCGTCATGCCATTAAAACACGAGGCAGAGGGGCATCCTTTAATCACTCAAGTCCTGCTGCATTTTTACTGAAGCAACAAAAGCCCACGGGAGCCTGGAGTCTGGCCTCTTCCCTGTGGCTTTCCTTCTCAGAGTGCCTCGCTCAGGGGACAGCAGTTGGTTTTCCTGTATTTCCAGTAGCTGTTTGCCAGCCATTCCAGCAGAATAAAGGCTTTCTACACTCACTACTTTCATAGTGGACAATTATCTATCCTGGAGGACAGAGAGTGAATTTTTTTACTTTTGATTCCAAATAAATTTTCTTGAAAGCTATGACAAAGGAATAGGCTTAAAAACCAAGACCGCAAGATGATCTGTCACAGGAGGCTCAGAAAGGGACAGCAGCTCTGTGTGTTCAGGGAAATCTTAATATTTTCCTAACTTTTAAGCTGGACACACAATTCTTTTTTTTTCCTAGAGTGGGGTACCAGGGATTGAACTGAGGGGCACTCAACCACTGAGCCACATCCCCAGCTCTATTTTGCATTTTATTTAGAGATAGGGTCTCACTGAGTTGCTTAGCACCTTGCTTTCACTGAGGTTGACTTTGAACTCACGATCCTCCTGCCTCAGCCTCCCAAGACACTGGGATTACAGTGGACATACAATTCTATACTTCCTGTAAAATAGCATGTTACCCTTCTGGCTCCATGTGTCCAAACAACCACACAGCACCACTGTTGAAAGTAAGGCTCCAACTTATTTCTCCTTTGGCAAGTGATCTGATTTTCCTTTAAAAAAAAAAAAAGTTTCTGGAACTTTTCTCTGTGATCTTCCAAAATTTCACCTTTTTGTGACAAAATGTGGCTTCTTCAACTGGAGAAAATTAAAGGTGACTCTCACAAGGTCAGAGGGCAAGCAAAGGGCAAATGGGACTGGCGGTGGGTGTTTCTAAGTGTGATTCATTTTTCTACATCAAAGGGCAGCATACTTTTCTATAAGGAATGAGAGAGTAAATATTTTAGTATTTTAGGTGCATTACGGTCCCTAACACAATTGCTAAGCTCTGTGGTTGAAATGTAAAAGCTGGTTGTTTCCAAAAAGCTTTATTTATGGGCACTAAAGCTTGAAAATCAAATAATTTTCATGTGTCTCAAAAACACTACTCTCATTTTCATTTCTTTTATCCATTTAACGTGTAAAAGCCACTGTCAGCTTATAGGCCTTATGAAAACAAACAGTGGGCAGACTTGGCTCCTGGGCCACTCACTGTACCAACCCTGGGTCCATCTAACTATGGAAGGACCAGGAGGCACCATGAGCAATGGACGCAACAGAGCAGCATGTCCTGATTCTGGAGGAAACCCCAGGCCATGGGAGAACCATCCTGGTTGGGAAAATTAGGGGTAGGAAGCAACTAAAAAAATCCAAATGTCATGGTAACAATCGTAGCTGAGTAGGAAAACTGCAGTCAATTCTGAAGCTACTGGAGGAAAAAAAAATCCCTGCTGGTTATTGTTAAGAAAAGCAAATTTCCAATATCAAATGTTTGGAGAGCTATCCAAAGTACTTAGGCCTTCATGCCTAGATCCAGGGTTGAGGAATATTGTCTATACTGAATTCATAAAGGAAAAGAAATCATCTTCAGAGAGAAAGAATATTACCTTTGCAGCGGAAGGAAGCAAAATGCAGTTGGAAGTGGTCTTCTTAGTTGTCCTGAACTCTTCTCTGTCTAGAAGAAGGAGTTGGGGTGGGGACCTCCCAGTCTTTGCAAGGTGGGCAATGTGATACTGAAGGTAAGAGGAACATTTCCTTTGATAATCAAATGGATGACATCCTGAAATAAGTTTTGCTACACATATTTATTCCTTGACCCTTCTTGCTCCCCATAGTGTTAAGTGCTAGAAAGGTTCAATGCAAACATCGTTAGCTCTAGAAGTTTGGAAAGGCCTTCAAGGTTGGCAGTGGTCGCAGAGGGACCATGGCTAGGAAGCAGATCTGAATCCAGACCCATGTTCCAAGCCCACATTCCTTTGTGATATCAGAAAGAATCATATTAAAATACTGACCACAGCATCTTTGGTGACAGAGAGGAAGACAAACAAATCTATCTTTCCAGCTGCTACTAGTTTTCAGGGAATGGGCTATGGGATATGTGTTTGGAGCAGAATTGTGAATATTCGGCTCTGATCCCTCTCTGCCCATGGTGCTTCGTCAGAAACATGGGACTCCAGGTCATGAGAACACTCAGCTCACCTCTCCTTGGAAGAGGAAGAAGGGGAGGGTGTGCCTTTGATTGGTCAGACTCCAGGTTGTTGATGGGGCCAACCAACCTCCAGCAGGGCCTAAGGGCCTTCGAGGTTTGGGCTTCTCTTTCCTCTGCCATCCAGGAGAAGGGCACAGCAAGGCCACAGGTGCTGTCCTCCTCGTGCTGAGAGTCAGCCACCTCCCCCTTCTCTCCTTACCTGAGGCCTGGCCTCCCCACAGCACCTGTGGTCCACACCTTCCACTTCCTCCTCCACTGGGTCACACCTGTGTCGTGCCTTCACCTTTCCTGTGTGGCTCTTCTGTCACTCTTTGATCTTCCTTCTCTCCATGATATTGCCTGGAAAGTGGTAAAATAGAGACTCAGGTTAGGGCTCAGCAAGAGGAGTGGAGACCCCCTTAGGCACGGAACCCAGATCATGAACTCTGGACAGACACAGAATTCAGGTAAAGTGGAACCTATCGTCTCCTCATCTGTTTCTGCTTCCTGTGTGCACATCTCCTTACTAACTGCATAGGGAGAACAAACAAATAATAAATACAGAATAAAGACAGGACCCCAGGATCCCTTCAATTCCCCAGGATTCTACACACAATAATGTTAACGTAATAATTAACATTATCAAGCATTCTAAGAAGATGGTGAGAGTGGAAATCCATTCCACCAAAAGGAAATAGTTTCTATAAACAATAATGGTGTAGAATTTTCACAATGTGTTTCCATTTCTTTGAGCATGTTTCTTGGGTCTAATCTAACCCAAAATTTATTTCTAACTTATCCACCAAAGAAAAAATCTCTGGAATGCAGTTCATGAAATCTGAGTATTGAAGTGATATTCATAAATGCTTTAAAGTTTTTATTGATTTTTTAATTTGTAAACTTGAATTGGAAAACTTGCTCATCAAATTCACAAATTATTATGGGGATAAAACACAAGAAGAGGTTAGAAAATGCTTGGAAAACTGAGAAAGGATACAAATTAGAGAACATTTAAAACAATGAAAACATGGTACTATATAATGCAATATGTCTAATAAATAAGAACGGCAGTATAAAAGGAAATGTAGAAAGCTAATTCTATTTCCTCAAATAGGAGAATTTCTGGCTCCTTATTAACTCTCTGCAGTCCCAGCATTGAACTTTTCAAATCTAATTTATTTTTGCATTCAGGGAGTTGTTAAATTATTTGGAACAGAGCTCCTTAAACATAAACTCGGCATCAATGGCTCCAAATTGTTTTATTCTTGTCTTGATAAACCTTTTTTTTCTCCAAAGCAGGAGAGATTGAGAAGTGATCAAATATAGAAAAAGAAATTACAGACCTTAAAACGGCTGCTAACTTGCAGAGGGTACCAGCTGCTGTGGGGAAATATGTTTCTCTGAAAGTCAGAGAGGGGAATCGCTCTCTAGTCCCTGCTATCAAGTCCCAAGCCCACATGATACATGAGCTGAATACCAGCTGGATCAGAAACTAAGCCCTCGGTGGCTGAGCTCTCATTCCAGTTGAGAGGAATTTTTGAGAGCGCACATTCTTGTTTTCTGCTTTGACCCAGTAGGGGCTTCACAGATGTTGGAGAATCTAGCTTGAGATTCTGGCTCTGCCCTAAAACAGACAGAATGCTGTTGAGAAGCAGGCACCAGCTACAATAAAAGGCAGCCTGTTCTTCGCATCTGAGCACCATGGTGGGCACTCTTCTGCTGCTTGCTGGCCTCAAGGAGAGACAGGAGCTGACCAGCAGCAGGCAGAGGGGGAGCACTCCAGAAGAGAGCATGGGAAGGTGGTTGGCTCTGATCACCTGAGTTAACTGAGTGGAGGCACAGCGCAGGTCAGGTGACCCTTCGAGTACAAGGAGCGGACCTGCTGGGTCCGTGCTAGGTAGGGTGCTGACACTCCACTGGATCCTGAAGGTGTCCCTTCCTGTGTGCACACCGCACACCTTCCCCACGCCACACCTGCCTGGCTCCAACCTTGAATCTCTGCCTTTTACCTAGACCTTGGAGTTTTGCTCAGTCGTCACTGAGTCTAGAGAACGCCTTGTCGTTGAGCTTTGCTTTTTAAGCTTTTTGTTTGTCTAAGTTTACTTTTCAATGGTAGTTTAAAAAGTGGGGACTCTTAAAGAAGCCTGACCATCTTTTGGCTATTCAACAATAATATGATTTTATTTGTGTTAATTCATCTTAGATTTCTGAATATTCTGTATTCATCTACCACACTTTGTATTGTTCAGTGAGACTGATTTTTTTTAAACATGTAAATAAACTATAACACCAGCATTCTTAAAACTATACAATATAATTTGGTCATTTTCAATTATGTTTTGTGCCCATTTGAATACGTAACAATGAATCCCACTAATGTGTGTAATCATACCGCACCAACAAAAATTAAAAAAAAAAAGAAAACTCTACAACAGTTCTCTATGAATTCAAAATTCTGCTCAGTCAGGCTATTATTTACCTCCCGAGCCTCAATCTCTTCCTTTTGTGAAAGATAACTAGTGCCAGACACTGAAATGGTAAAGAGAAATTTTATTCAAAAACATCTTAATGAGGGGAAAATACTTCAATCTAGAATTGAGCTCAGTTCAGAAACCAACAAGGAGAAGCCAGCCTGAGGGTGGAAAATCACTCAGGAGAGACGTTGGGGTGGGGGATTCTCCCTAAACCAACCTAACAGGACCCTTACTGAGGATGGCCCAGGGTGACCCCATTTCAAGAGTGGAGGGGGCTGGGGAGTTTGATAGGATATGGAGCATGGTCAGCTACCAATGGTGGGGGATCCTTGTTCTAGTGACGTGGCAGGTTCTTGCTACAACCAGGCTCTGCAGGTCCCACAAGGACAGAGGCCAACGTTGACTCAAGAAGAGGACTCAGAGGAGCCTGACCACAGTGTGGTCCAGGAGAGCCGCCCCTTTCACCTGTGCAGGCCTACATTCCGGTTGTATCACCCCTCTTCCCTCTGGACCAATGGGTCAGGCTCCCTCTACTCCAGGCTCTGGCTCTCAGTGAGCTCCTGCCCTGGCCCCTCTTCCTCCCACTTTCCAGTCTGGATGCTCCCTCACATCTCAGGCTAGCTGCACCTTTCCCAGGATTCCTCATCCAGTGCCTTTGAGTCCTGGCCAGCAGCTTCTCCCAAGAGCTCCACCGTCGTCCATCGTAGCGCTTCTCCTCCGTGGTCGAAAGCACTTATTTCCACAAAGCCACCTGCTCCTTGAAGGCAGGGGCCAAGTGTTTCTCGTCCACCACTATCTCCTGGGAAAGCAATTGAGTATCTGGCAACAACAGGTATCCAGCACATATTTGTTAAATAAATGGGTGACGCCTGTTATGACCCTCACTTTACCCCAAGTCCCCGCGGGGTGACTGAACATGAGGATGAGCAGCAGTTGGGAGAGAAGCAGATCCCCCTTCAGGATTGAGGAAGGCCTCACTCAGGCATCCAAGACTGGGAGTTCCCAGGGAGAGATTCCAGGAGGCAGAGAGGGCCAGTCTGCCTGGTTTTGATAGGACTCAGGGAGTGCGGAGGCCCAGCCTCACTGGGGGACCCCGGGAAATCCTGCCAAGGTACCAAAAAAGGCAATTTTGTCTCATCACACTGAGAAGGACCTCTTTCTATGGCTCCTTACTAGGGTGTTTCAGTCAGGTCTGGCAACCCTGTGTCCAAAATGCCCGACAAGGACATCTTAGAGGAGGGATAGTTTATCTTGGCTCACAGTTCCTGAGGTTTGGTCGGTGGTTGGCTGAGTCCATCCCTCCGGGCTCAGTGTGAGACGGAACACCTTGGCAGAAGGGCAGGGTGGAGCAGCCCTGATCTGCTCATGGCAGCCAGGAAGCTGAGAGAGGAGGGAGGGGGCCGCAGGGAAGATGCACCCTTCCAGGGCAGCCCCAGGAACCCACCCCCTCTAGCCTGCCTACGGTCACCACCCAGTCAGCCCATTCAAACGAGGGTGGACTGATTAAGTTGGGGCTCACACCATCCATTCTTTCACCTCTGAACTATCACAAGAGCTTTTAAGGGACACACTATATCCAGACCATAACCTAGGTGACTGTGCAGTGGAGGAACAGAAATAGTCAGACCTCCTGGGGAGTATTGGACAAAAGCTCTGAGCTGATACTGATTCAGGGAGACCCAAAATGCCACTGTGGCCCAGCAGTCAGTGTAGAAGGTACATAGAATGACATGAGAAATGGAGTCTTAGCCCAGACCCTCAGTGATCCCAGTGGGTCCCCAATCCCATCCTATGATTATTTCCCCAACTGCAAAATGCACAATTTAACAGACATGCAAAGATGGGGGAAGAATCCACTGGTCAGGCAGAAGCTCACGGACCCCTCTTGTCAAGGAACCTTGCTTCAGAGAGAAAATGACAATTGTTTGCTCATTTCAGAACTTCAGTCATCAAAACTCCAGTTTCCTAGCAATGTGTAAATACATCAAATTACCCCGTCAGTACTTCACAAGGGCATTATGTCAGTGTCAAAAGACATCAGGATCAGAAAAGGAAAAAAGAGTAAGTCTGCACTTTTAAAATTCCTTCAAGCAAAATAATCTGATTTTATACTGTGTTCAAAAAATTAGACCAAGAAGCCTTGTAGGTAAAAAATAATTTTTATTTAAATTTTAATGCTTCTGTGTATGTGTGATGAGCTAAATTTGCACAATAAAATTATCTCTCATGTAAAAATAAGTTAAAAAGGAGCATCCTCACTTAAAGTGTTGGCCAAATACCACTTGGTTTTCAGACATCTGCATCCAGCTCCTTAGGAGGGAGATAACCAGATGCAGCACACTTCCCGGTGGTCCTTGATCAAGGAGAGTATCACAGATGCTCTCTTCCAAACTCTGACCTCACAACAAAGCAAGCTACAGGACATTTCTGGAAGACTGGGTCTAACAGATCAAGAAATAAATTAAATCAGTTTGAAAAATTTTACAAAATCAGAGATGGAAGAGGCTTTCAGAATTACCTAGTTCCACCTTCTCCAAGCACACATGAAAAACTGAGAATCATAGAGATAGACTCAAATGATCCAAGTCAGAGAAGATGCTGTCCATGGCAGCAGCCCAAACCATGAAACCTGGATGCATTTTTTCTTCATTATAAGGATTTACTTTGAACAAAACATAAAATAAATTTGCCAGTCACTTCCTTTCTGATAAAAATTAATCCATGTGTTGTTTAATTGCTTTACTGACATATAATTTATATGTAAGTCACCAATTATAAATATGCAGTTCTATAATTTTTGGTAAAAGTTTACAATTACAACCATCAACACAACCCATTTTTAATACATTCTCTGAATTTCCAAACTTTCCCTTTATGTTCCTTTACAGTTAAGTATCCCCACCCCGGTGCCTAGAAAAGCACTGATCTTCTGTCTGTGTAACTTTGCTATTTATGGTCATTTCATAAAAATGGAAACAGGTGTCCCTGTCTGGCTGCTTCCCGTTAGCATGGCATGTTTGAAGTTCATCCAGGGACCAGTTTTTATTGGTGAACAGTACCCCTGGGCATATGGCGTATCACATTTTATATCCATTCAACTAAGTGTTTGGGTTTCTCATGAAGAATGTTGCTCTGAACATTCACATACATGTTTTTGTGAACATGCATCTTTATTTCTCTGGGGTAGATTCCAAAGAGTAGAATTTTTGTAATTTATATAGATAAAGAGGTAGATACAGATACATAGAAAGATTTAAATTTTTCCATTGCCAAGATGCTTTCCAAAGTGGTTGCACCTTTTTCCATTCTCACCAGGATTGTGTTAAGGTTTCACCCAACTTGGCACTTTCTGCTGTTATTCACTGAAGGTCTGTATTGCTCCCAAAATTTACAGACTGAGACCATGCCCCCAATACGATGGTATTTAGAGGTGATGACTGCAGTTGATCACTAGATGAGGTTGTAATGGTAGGGACTCCACAAGATTCTCTATCTCTCTCTCTCTCTCTCTCATTAATAGGATGAGAAATAGGGGTCTGACTGTCAGAGAGACTGAGCTAAACTGGTGGGGAAAACTGCTGGAGCAGACAACTCTAAGTGAGTTTTGCAAGTGACAATAAAACAATAGTGGTTGTTTCTCAAGCATCTCCATCTACCCATCGTGGTCTAACCTCTCATCATACCTGAGCCTACTTAATTTTGCAGACAATGCTGGTTTCTAGTCTTCCCCTTTCTTACTGTCTTTAGAAACCAAGGCAGTAAAGTAGCTTGCTAAAACTCACACAGTAAATGGCAGAGCTCAGACCTGGGACCACCAGGAAGCCGACCCCAAGCCCAGGTCCTCAGTCACCACCACGCTCAGCGACACTCAGAGTCATATGGTATCAAGAAGGAAGAGTTCCACTGTAAAGTGGCTCAGTTAAGAAAGGGTGATTTCGTGGTGTGATTTAGAAATATGGAGGCAACATCCAACCTCTCTAAACAGAGAGTGAGAGATCTTTGCCTCTGAAGAGCAGCATTCTGAATGGGAAGTCAGGGCAAAAGTGGCAGTTGTTATCAGAAGACAGAAGAAAGCGGTTCATTATTCAATAACTCCAAGCATGTTCATGATTTCTTTAAGAAATTAAAATGAACAGTATTAACACTACCAAAGGAGTTTAAAATGGTCAGAATCACAGCCTTTGGGACACGAGTCCCCTGTGTCTCTCCTTTGCTAGAGAGCAATAAATCTTCTTTTTCCTTTTCCTCAAAACCATGTCCTTGTTAATGGGTTGGCCATCAGGGACAAGGACTGAGCTTTTGGTGACAAGGGCAGGGTGTGAAACAGGAGCACGGCTGCCAGTTCTGAAGTAATAAAGATGGGTATCACTGCCATACCAGCAACCTCCCGTCAGCCCTGGTGCGTCCGTGCTCTGAGATGAATGATGAAGGCAATCACTGTCTAAGCATGTAGCACACTCCATGTCCATCGACTCATTTGACTTTCTATGAAGCGGATCCTCTTTTCTTCTCTTTTAGCTACTCGTTGGAAGGATACTAGGGAAAGGGTACTGATTTTGGAGGACGACTTGAAAATAAATATTGGAAAAGGTCTTTATAATAGGCATCACCTTTAACGTTCACTTCCGTTTCTAGGATTTCAGACTCAGCAATTAATCAGATGTATAATAGAATAGATATACAGAAATCTTTAAAATAGCAAAAAAAAAAAAAAAAGACCAAAACAAAACAAAAAGCAGAAAAACCTGGGAACAATCTAACACACCTTTGTTTTTTTGTTTTTTGTTTTTTGTTTTTTTGAGAAAAAGGAAAAAGAAAATGTATCTGCTTTGCTAGCAGAAACACAAGGGACTCCTGTCCCAGAGGCTGTGTTCTGCCTCATTGGCAGGAACGGGGGCTTTAAAAGAGGTGATTCCAAGGCGACTTTCCACATGTTGTCTGCTGGAGTTGTCATTTGGGAGATATCCATTTCTAAGATCTTCTAGTACCATCCCCAAAGTCTGGATTACTTCATTCCTATGGTGGATGTGTACTCAAGGACAGATAAATCTGCCTAAAATGGGGAAGAAAGTTAATCCCATTTCCCTGAGATTAGGGAGGGGCCAAATTTCCATTTATTTAAATAAATCCTGTAAGCTAAACTATAGACAGTCAATGTTGTGAGTTATTTCATAGTGAGTTAAATCATGCTGGAGAGCTGTTTGTTGCAATATATAATGTCAATAATATATTAACAATTCCAGGTTTCTAAAAATAGGAATAAGTAGCTAATCTTTGAGATGAATACTTAACTGTGGAATTATGAATCACTTTTGTTTGCTTTTGACTGCATAAAATTTCTTGCCTTTTTAAATAAAACTGCATTTTTTTCCTTTTGCACTAATTAAAAGTTATTCACTTAATAAATGCATACCAGTTATTCATTTAATTAATGTACACTCTAAATTCTCCTTCATGTGCAAATGATTCCTTGGATAAACCCCATGTTTCCTCTAGAATCTTCTTTAAGTCTAGAGGAAAACTTTAGAAATCAGGATGGAGACCTGAAAGGCATTTGGAAATCCTGATGTCATCTGAAGCTGAATATCTAGGAGTCCACAATCCAGTTTAAGGGATAGATGGTTTGGCTATTTGGGGCTGTGGCCAAATTCAAAGAAGGCTTAATTCAGGGCACAGTTTCAGAAGGACATTCGCAAACCGGAGTCCTTCAATTGAGGCCAGCATAGATATGGTCCTAAGAGAAATATCCAAGGCAAGCTGGGAGAGTTGGCCACGAGAAGGCCCTCTGTTCTGAGGGAGACAGAACATATTTATCGGTAGGCCTCATGAGAGAAGGGCAGGCTTCACTGAGATACGTAGATGTGCGGGGTGTTTCACAGGACTTACCAATGACCATTCCTCCTCTTACACTTTCCTCCAAGTTCTCTAATCTAGTTAGAAAGCTAAATTAAATGCTGGTGTCCAATAGCTTCTCATCGAATTGGAGCAAAGTCTTAATGTCATACAACCTGGAGACCATCATGCCACCCTGAACTCAAACGCCTCCTTCCTCCTTCACGGGTCTCTGAATCCCGGAGGTAACCTCCCTCCTGTCACCCTCCGTCACGTGCCACTTTCAGTTCTCTCGTAATCTACCTGCCTTATGATCCCAAACCACCCTGTTATTTGTTTACTAAAGCTGATCAGGTGTGAACTCTTGCTGCCATACGTGCTGAAACAACACGCATGGGTCATGCTCATGCAGGAACGGAGTGGAATGATGAGGGAAGGGAAAGGCAGATCTCGGAAGAGCAAAGGACGAATGGGAGTTTTCTCCTTTAACCTTAAATAATCTTCCCAAGGCCTAAAGCAGATCACAGTACCCTCTTCACATAGATGAACAAGAAGGGAGATTAGCTAACCCAGTGAGAGTGCAAGCCAGAGGGATTAAAGATGGCGGTTGGAGGAAGGCTGCATTTCCAGTTGCTCCATGGCTCAAGATTTAAGCAGCAGGACTGCTTCTGAGCAAGGCAGGTGAAAGAGGGAATTCACTGAAATTCAATATGAGACAGCCAAGAGTCTCAGAGACTTGGAAATTTGGGAACATTGAACAAATAAGAAAGTGTATATTGGAGCCCAGCTGGTTATGACAGCGACAGCAGCAGCAGCACAGGTTAACCACAGAGGGGAGGGATGGCACAGAGAGAGGGCACAGACAGATTGAGCATGGAAAAGCTTGTCGATCAGAAAAGCAGCCTGAACTTCACTGATCCAGAGAATCCCCAGCAACCTGGTGTTCAGAAAGTGCTCCCTGGTGTTTCTCAACTGGTCATGGAGGGCTGAGGCAGGAGCCGTCTTGAGGAGGCCATATTACAGCTTCTCCTGCAGGA